CTTCACACTTTATACCCCCTACACACTTTATACCCCTTATACACAAAGTTATACCTCCCTTCACACTTTATACCCCCTACAGACTTTATAACCTCTCGTAGTAAATTCATAATTCCTAATGATCAATTTGAAACTACGGTGCTTTAGTTTAATGGGCAATAAATCAAAAAGTGGTCTCCACTCTTCAACACAGCTGTTCAACGAGTTCAACAGGCCTTCTCAAAATGGCGCAATTTCGGTCCGTTGAAAAATGTTCCAAATTTAAAGCTTGATTAGGCAGACAGACAGACACTTTCTCAGACAGTTGACGGGAGGGGAGGGGGGAGAGTGTAATAAAGTTCTAAAGTGCCGACATTATCTCGACTTCACCGCATAAATATATATATATATATTCAAAGAATGGGAATCTTTTATCAGATAACTGATAGGCAAGGTGTAAACCGACATTTTGAAATCAAACATGTTCGGTTTAAACCCCTGGGGTCCTACGCGACGAGAGTCGAGACGTCGTACCCCAACAAGTAGCGCGTCTTGCTGCGTTGAAATTACGACTAAACCTCGCTCCTTAGGATTATATACAGATAATCCATAAACAAATTTGTCTCTGCAAATTGACAGTTTAGAAAATATTGCATTTTTGATTTTTTTTTCTTCAAAGCACCGCGCGGCTTTAATAAGTCTATTTGGGATTATCCACGAAGATAGAAAAGGGGAGACGACGGGATTCGTATCATAAGATACATTTTATGAACAACAAGCAAAAAGGCTCGGTGTTACCCTAGGGATTTCAAAATCGTCGCCAACTTGGCAGAAAACGACCTCCCGCATTTTTTCTAATGGATAGATTCACTCAAGTGTTAAGGTTTGACCGATCGTATTTGGGACAGGCTGTTAACAACCAGGACATGTAAATACACAATTGTAGATAAAAGTGTGTAGATAAAAATTCACATAAATTCAATCCTAATCTAACCTACCTTAACAAATACCAAATATAGGATTGTTAACTGATTAAATTCTGAACGTAAATTACTTTAAATCTATTGAAATTAGAAGAGATGTTTTAATCAGGATTTCAAACCGCCATTTTGATTTTCGAAGCACAGAAATGCTTTTTATTTCTAATATGCGGATAACTTTGCTTTTCCTACATATTTTTCATTAAATTAAAACTAGAGAAGCTGCGAGATCACAAAGTCGTACCTGATATTGTCGCATGAAGTTGACCCCCTCCTTCACATTATGTATCTGTGTTGTTTATATGAACATGTTCATGAAGTTGACCCCCTCCTTCACATTATGTATCTGTGTTGTTTATATGAACATGTTCATGAAGTTGACCCCCTCCTTCACATTATGTATCTGTGTTGTTTATATGAACATGTTCATGAAGTTGACCCCCTCCTTCACATTATATATCTGTGTTGTTAATATGAACATGTTCAAAGAAACAATTTAACGGTCATTAATAAAAATATGGTAAAGTATTCGTAGGACAGGACTTGGCAAATTTTCTAAATAAAAAGAGACAAATCCATTATTATAGTTATTGAGATTATCAAAATAGATCATTCTAATAATTGTTTTTATTATTTAAAAAAAAATCTTTTTCTTTTTCAAAAATTTATTGTTTAACTATCTGTTACAATAAATAATTTAACTCCTAGCTTATTGACTGTAAAAAGTATAGGGGCTCCAGGTGTACACCCCCC